GAAGTGGTGATCAAGATTCCAGAGGTTTCCATGTATTATAAAGACTACTCTGACCTTTATGTATGGCACATGCTTGCTGCATCCTCACTTTCAACAAGAGCAAGCAGCAGTCCTTGTTTTCTTAAGTTTTTATGTAGTGATTGCATTTTTTCATAATTTTTTTATTTTAAAGTTTTATTCAACAAATGCATTTTTTCATAGAACTTTAGAAATATTGTGTTTCTTTCCCCTAAACCCACCCTCCCATCCCAACTCTCATCCCACCTCCCTCACCCTCTCCCATCTCCTTCTTCATTATGTTACATTTTTATTTGATTTTATATACAGAGGACCAACTCCATATAACATATAGATTTCAATAGTTTGCATCCACACAGACACACTACATATAGAGTACAGTTTGAGAAAAAATTGTAGTCGATTCTCACAGTTCAACTCATTATGGATGGAGTTCCTAAATGGGGAATAAATGCACAGTGACTTCATTGTTCCTTTAACAATTAACACTCGTATGTATGATATCAGTGATCACCCAAGGCTCTTGCCATGGGCTGCCAAGGCTATGGAAGTCCTCTGTAACCATAGACTCCATCAGCATTTGGACACTGCCATAAGCAAAGTGGATGTTCTCTCCTCCCTTCTGAGAAGAGTATATCCTTCTTTGATGATCATTTCTTTCCACTGGGGTCTCACAGAGATCCTCCATGTAGGCTATTTTTTGGCCAGAGTCTTGGCTTTCCATGCCTGCAGTGAGCCCTTGTTTTATTGGTGTTATTCCCTCTGTACTCTCATTGCCTAATCAATGACCAAAGGGCCCCAGTCTTTATTTCTAATGAGAGTTTTTATTTATTTATAATTTAATGGAAATGCAGAGTTTCAGAAGGAGGCAGAGAAGTATGAGGGAGAGAGAGGGAGAGGGAGAGAGAGAAGGACAGGAGGGCAGGGAGAAAAAGAGAGGGAAGAAAGGAAAAGAGTGAAAAAGAGAAAGAAAGACATCTTCCACCAGTGATTCACACCCCAAATGATGGCAATAAATGGAACTAGGCTGTCTTAAGGCAATAAATGGGAGCTTCTTCTGGGTCTCCTACATGGTGTGGACTCAGAAACTTGGGCTGTCTTCTATTGCTTTCCTAAGCATCAGCAGAGAGCTGCATTGGAAGTGAAGCAGCTGAGACTGGAACTACTGCCCAACTGGGATGCTGGCATGCCAGTCAGAGGCTTCAACTACTATGATGTAGCACTGGCCCCAGGTTCCCACTCTTAGTGTCATGCACTGGGAGATTTACTTTGTGAATTTTGGGTGCACAGAAAGCACACAACGATCTCACTAAACCACATCTCTCTAAGGTAGGATCTGGATAGTCATTCTATGGGCAAGCACTGATTGAGAGATCACCATTAGAAAACAGATGATCAAGCTCTAGAGAAACACAGAAGAGTTGTGCACTTGATACCTTCTGGATAAGATGCCACCCTTGAGCAGATTTCCATCAAGGAACACACTGGGATGCTGCCTGTAATCAAAGTCAGTCTGGAGATCACCTTGAACCCTACTGGCATATTTCCACTTTGCTGCCTTTTGATTCTTGAACATGAATTTTATCTCCATCTCTGCCAGTATCCCCTTCTTTTTCCATACATTTCTCCATCAATGTCAGTTGTCACAACTTGCAGATGTCTTCCAAAGTTTAGGTGGTCTTATTTTTGGATAGTTCATACTTTTGAGACATTACATGTGCTCATCTTTCAGAGCTTTGTTTTCCAGAATTGATAAGCAAAAATATCTCTTTTTGTATTTAATCTAGTATTCCAGCACTACTTAACTCAATTACTGATTTTTGATTGTATTACATCATCCCAATATCAGTTGAAAATGATGCCATTTGAAATCTTCCTCTATAATAAGTTGCATGGCTTTCATTTTTATTATATGCACAAACAGACCAATGGGTAATTTCCTGCAGAAGTTGCATTCTTTATTCAACTTTGTATCCAATCTTCAGCCATAACTTCCATGTTTTTTAGCATTCTAAAATACTCTTTAGGATTGAAAACTGATCCTTCTTTTTGGCATTTTGTGTTGTTTTGTTCTTTTTTTATAATTCTTAGATCACTTAAATTTATTAAATGGCCGGTGCCGCGGCTCACTAGGCTAATCCTCCGCCTAGCGGCGCCGGCACACCGGGTTCTAGTCCCGGTCGGGGCGCCGGATTCTGTCCCGGTTGCCCCTCTTCCAGGCCAGCCCTCTGCTGTGGCCAGGGAGTGCAGTGGAGGATGGCCCAGGTGCTTGGGCCCTGCACCCCATGGGAGACCAGGAAAAGCACCTGGCTCCTGGCTCCTGCCATCGGATCAGCGCGGTGCGCCGGCCGCAGCGCGCCGGCCGCGGCGGCCATTGGAGGGTGAACCAACGGCAAAGGAAGACCTTTCTCTCTGTCTCTCTCTCTCTCTCACTGTCCACTCTGCCTGTCAAAAAAAAAAATTATTAAATGTTTTTCTTCAGAAATGCTAATTCTTATTACTATTTTTCAAGGATTATAACCTGAATTACACTTTATGCAAGACATTGGGCATGATGTAACCTATTTAAAAATACTGTTGGGTTTACATTGTTTAAAATTTCTATGTGTGAATTTATTTCAACAACAGTGTCTTACAATTTCATTTTGCTGAAATATCTGGCAGTATTTGATCAAACAAGTTAAGAGGTTCCTGTAGAAGAAACAGAATTTTTCCTATTCTGTACAGTAGTTGAGAAAGAGTTCCTTTCCTATGTGAACGTTTGATAAAGGTGTTTATCACATTAAAAGTATTGGGAATTATTTTAATAACTATGAGGTTACTTGGATTTTTCAAATATTTCTCAAAGTTTTTATAATGTTTCTATCTGGAAATTTCTGAATTTCTTCTATATTCTTCAATCTATCACCATTAAATGATTCACATGTTCTAGTATTAGTATCTTTTATATCTGTGCAGAGATCTCTTCAGCTCTCTTTGTGTAACACACACAGACATTGTAATCTTGTTTTTAGTACTGTTCCAACTGGTTGAGGTTCATAAATTTTACTTGTTTTATGATCACCAACTGTAAGCTCTTCCAATTTTTATTTACTTCAGTTTCCTTATAATGTCCACATCCTATCTTCAAGGGCTTGTGTTGAATTTGCTGTCATTGACCTACCTTGATATGCATACTTTTTACCATGGAAGTCAGCCTGTATTCTTTCAAAATAAATTTTACTCATGAGTGTGTATGAGTGTAAGCATAGGAATGTTCCTGAAGATTTATATTTTGATATGCAATGATTTTGCTCAAAGGCTAAGGTTAGCTCATTTATGATATCTGATGAGTATTATCCTCAGCATGATATACTGTATAATTTCTAATACAGTTTTTCAAATTACACACAGTTTGATGAGAGTTGTGCTTTCTCACTCCAAGCATGCTATACTTGAATTAGGTGAAAGCATTTTATCTATTCATGTACAAGGAACACAGACGTGAATTTACCAAAATGATTTTGCAAATACTACATGCAGTAAAGTATAGTGTGCAAACTTTATCATTTTAAGGGTTATTACTGAATATAAGGTTTAACTTCTACCAGAAGGTGAAAAGAATCTTCTGAGCAGTCATACTCCACATCCTTTTCTTTCCATGGAGAAGAGGACTATTTTAAGAAACAGGTGTTAACTTCTCCATGAGGCTGGCACTGACTTACCTGTCTGATTGGAAATCTCATTCTCAGGACAAGGTGTGCAATCAAAACAACAGGTAGGCTTTCCCTCCAGAGGGGTTTTCCTGAATCCAGGGCTACAACTCTCACTGCATACTGAGTGTGGAGTCTGAGAAAAATCAGATGTGTGTTGGTCAGAGATGGGACTATTGCTTATGTTCCATGTAGTGTTTTCAAGTCCTGCACAACCTGTTCAATTAAACTGTAAATACCTATTTCTGACACAATGATGGCATGCAAGTTTATTTTCTAAATAAATAGATTCAAAACATGTGGAGGAACAATTGCGTGTAGTGTCCAACCTCAGACACTAAAAACATAAGAAAGTATTTAGATTGGAAGGGGTGTAGTTTAATGTCTCTAAGTGTGTTTTTAATAAGCCAAGTGGCACAAATCCCCATATGAATTGTGGGTAACAATGTGCATTGTGAACCTTATGATCAGGTGCAACTTACCTCTGTAATTCCTGTGGCCCACTCTATCGAATTCTCAGAGAGAGACAACTTCTGGCTCTGTGAGGCATAAGGGGAAAACTGTCCTACTTTAACCTTACGTCCAACACCATAAGGAAAATTCCAAAAGTTGAGAATGTCATATTCAGCTTCCAAATTCCTCAAGTGATTCAAATTCACTAGGTCACCCGCAGGATTGGTAAATTGGAGGTTCTTGAGAAACGGGTGCAACTGAAAAAATACATTATATTCACATGAAGACTGCACAAGCAATAACACATCAAACCCAGTTTAAAGAAAGCCTTTTGTCTGTAATCACAAATAAACAAAGGGAACTTTTTATAGCTACCCAATGAATTAAAACTAAAAACACGATGAGAACTACATCAAAGTAAGTATGATTTCACTCATTTTCATCTAAAAACTAGGGCAATCAAAAATATCTAACTGAGATTCTGATCATTTCCAACTGTGGAGTCCATGCTACCAACACTCACTTATTTTCTCAGTGTACCTAGGACAACCATCTGTAGTACAGTTACCAGGATAAAAAATATGCAATTTAATGAGATGTCTTATGTACATTGTGGCTGAACATACTCAACAACATTTGACACTAAAAAGCACTATTTTTTTACCGTTGAGACAGAAAATGGAATGACACAGTCTAGGTATTCACAAGTCCTAATTAAATTGACAGGATGGGAGAGTACTTTTTAAGACACAGCACTGAAGCTTATCCAAGTTACCTTCCCACTTGTCAATGGAACCCTGTGTCTTATGACAAATTACAATCAGAGGCTCATATATCTCGTGATTGGAGAAAGGATCCCAAGCTACTTGGTTTGAACACTGGCAGAAGCTGTTAAAGGGATCACTTCAGGAGTACATGTCATGCAATGGAAACCAAATTACCTGCCAGGGAGAAAATGCCACCTTTTCCCCCTTGTTCCCTGGCTGCATTTCTAACAATTGTAGAAGCATCTCATGTACGCTGTGGGCCACAGCATACACAGCATTATATATGTTGTAACTCCCATCACTCATGCTCATATCAAAATGATGAAGAGGCAACAATTCCAAGGAGGTATTCAGTGGACAGTTTCTCAAGGTTTTGCAGGATGCCCCAGTAACTGAGCAATCAAAAACCAATGACCAGAATCTTAAGAGGTAAATGTCTTCTGGGTATTTGGAAGGGTTAGCTGTCCAAAGAAAGTTTTTGAAACCAGAGATCTCACTATGGTGGTGTGAAAAAATGAGAGTCCCATGGAATGAGTGGAGCAGAATATGACGCTCATCGCTGGCAAAATCCCATTGTGAGGTGGTGACCCAGACTTTCCATGTCATTACACGTTCCCATGTTGGAAAGCTGATTCCTATGAGTGAATCAGTGTCACAGAAAAGAATCACCACATTTGCTGATGATTTTAGGATCTGGATATGGAACCTATTCTGGAGTGAAATACGAGACTCCTCAATAACTGGAATCAATTCCACAAAGTCCACACAGATGCCATTCTTCTGCAGCTCTACTTTCAAATTGGACATAAACTGAATACCTTTTGGGAGGTCTGAGATGGCCAAACCCACCCAGGTCCAGCTGAAATGAAGCATCAAGGAGACTATGCCACGGGCCAGAGAAGTGTCTTTGGGGGCCATCTGATAGAGGGAAGAAAACTGACCACTGTCACTCAGAAGTGGTTCAAAAGACCCAAGTGTCAGCTAAGGGGAAATGCAAGAAATCTGTGTAAGGATATTGCCATAGTGTACTATCTTACTCCTGAAGAAATTAAGCAGATGATGGAAGCATCAGAAGATTTTACAGTATTTCATTTTTCTCATCCGCCTTGCATGAAAACATCCTAGTTCCTGAGACATTACATTCACAGATTAAGGAAAACATTTCTCATTTTCACTCGCCAACACTCAGCTTCTGATAATATGTGGCTAATCCACCTAATCTCTATACGCCTTCCCTTTTGATCACAAGCTGTGGCAAGTGTATTTGGTTCTGTCACTTAAATTTTTGGGTCTAAGTCAGGCACCTCAGGTGATGTGTTTTATCCCTCTCTTTCACTTACACACTCACCTGTGGAATTTTGTAGAGTTCCAGCAGTGTCCCTACTTGGACAGCAATGCTTGTTCCTGATATTACAGCTACAGACTTGCTCTGTTTCCTACACGTGTAATTAGGAACATCCTCTTCCAGTCCTGCAAGCCAGATGAAGGGATTCTGCATCACCATCATGTCACTGTGCATGACATTATAGAGATCAAATCCCAAGGTCACATTGGGTAAAAGCTGGGGGTTCTTGTTGATCTCCTCAATAGCAAAAACCAAGGCCAGAGCATACTGGTAGTTTTTGGACTGAAACCTGTATGAAATGCACAAGGATCTTTAAGGGAGAAGCCTCAAATCCAGATTATCATCAATTCTACTGTAATAACTGTAACAGATGGATTGGTCTTGGCCAAAGATTCATATGTTCTAATGATTATCTGCACATTTGCTGAGGACAGCATGTGAAGAGTGTTGCATTTGCAGGACACATGTCCTCACCAGAACCATAGCTGCTACTCCCTTGATCTCAGTCTCCCAGCCTAAATGATTCTGAAAATAAGATCTGCTTTTACATTATAATGTCTTTGGCATGTTATCACATGGCTGTCCATGCAGCCAAAGAAAATGATCTTATTTTTAATATAAACCTATCAATTTAAATCATCTCTGGCAACAACTACATCTTCTAAGTTTTTATATTTGATATCGAAATACTATAATATGCTCTGGAATGCCCTTTCGAAATGTTTATGCACACCTAGAAAGAACATTCAAGTTTCAAAGAAAACTTGACAAGGAAAGGTGCATCTTTAGCACTGCCTCTACAAATACTCCTATATTCGGAATCTACAATGATGCTTCATCTATCACATCATTATATGCTTCTTGAAATAGGAGTCCTATGATCATAAGGCTGCAGGTTGTAATGGGAAAAGAGAGTAACTCAACTGAAGGCTATGTGATCACATGGAAGGATGATGTCAAAGCACTGAGAATGGTAGATGTAAGTCTGGATATATCCTGGGAAATCTCTTCCCCAACAAACTCACCCATCAACCACCATCACAAGCCAGGAAAATGAAATCAGATTCAGAGCTTGAAAGAAGGAAATCAGTGAAAAGGGAGGAACACTTTAGAAAAGCCTAAAACACTCCCCGGTTGGATTTGTAATGCTTTACAATTAAGACAGTCATGCATTTATTTTGAACACTAGGTATATTTTAAAGTAAATCATTATCAGTGGTAAAAGTATATACTCCAAACTGGCCTTATTCACCCAATTTTCCCTACAGAACCAAACATAAATATCCTTCCATGCAAAGAACATGATGCATTTCTACTTTCCAGGTTCTGACATTTCACAAAGTGTGTAAATGAGGAGCCCCTTGTATGTATTTCAGATTTACTGTGTGTTGAGTCATTATGAATAGACTAGGTCATGTACACTGATATTAAGGGTCACTGTGTGCTCCAGAGGAAGTGACAGTTTTTCTTTTCTTGGTTCATGTTGCAACATAATATGTATGTATGCATGCATATTATATACATATTCTGCCTATATATTTATATATAGGTATCCATTACCATGTAAAGAGTTGCTCAATATCTATTGCTTTATATAAATCTCATTTCTATAAATATTTGTTATCCAAATATTTCACTCATACTTTGTATATAATGAAGAACTTTAAAAATCCTTGCTAAGAGTATCAAATAATATTCCATTTTTAGTTCATATTTCTCTGTTCCCCTCCTCATTGTTTACATTTCCATCAAGTCCTTAACCTCTCATTTCTTATTCCCACTGCCATTGGTATAAAAGGTCTAAAAGATTTTTGGACACACTGGGCATTTTTGAGAGTTGCCTTTTCAATCTGTTTTATGTTGTGTTTCTTATCTCTAAGAACAGTTTATATATAATTATTGGGTATTCTAAAGTTGTTGAATCTTATATTATATTCCCAAATATCATTAACACAGGCATTTTCTCCTGGGTTTTCTAAGATTTGGTTATGATCTCCAGTTGGCAAGGTATACATCTTGGAGGAACCTGGGCTCTATTCATAAACTCTATTCCTACTACGGGAAATTTACACTCTTCTGGTCTCCATCATTTAGGGTACACGTAAATGATGTACTGCATGCATAACCATGGGGAATACCACTACTAATAATAAATAAATATTTCATAATTGGGATGTCATGTGCACTATCAAAATAGGCAAATTCATAAAAATCATGTGAAGTGAATGATATCATTATACCAAGCTGGTATCCATTAGATTTTTTCTGGATAGAACTTAGGACAAATGCCTAAAATACTTGATCAGTTGTCTCACCTTTGTGGCACCAACTATAATTCTAAATTCCATTGGCTTTAATGATACTGCAATGATATATGTCCTAATATCTACCTTCTATCAAAGATCTATGTATCATCAACCTACTTTTATAGCTTACAGTAGAAACCAATTAGAAATTAGCACCAAAATAAACAGATGTGAGGAAAACAATTTCACTGTCCTACAAGATACTATATTCTGGAGGCATGAAATATTCCTATATAAATATATATGAAACATTTATATTTAGCTACAGGTAGACAGTATCTTAAAGATGGGCAGAGCAGAATAATCCCTCTTCTGAAATGTATTTTTCCAGAAAAAGAATCAGGGGTGCATCCTGAATGTGTAGATTCCAACCATTACAGTTCTTATGGGTATATTCATCATTAACATACAATTATTATTATACTTGTGGCCTGAGGTTACTTTTACCTAGTAAAATCTTACTTTCTTGAATATCTTTTCTTCTTTTTGACTGTAGAAGAAATGAAGTGAGCTCATGGCCCCAAATCTAATATGTAGCAGAAAAGTTTGTGAGCACATGTGGAAGAGCTCATGTAACTCAGGGTTGTTCATTTCAGTGAATGGGTTCTGTAAGAACCTGCTACTGAGGCACAATAGGCCCCTGAGCTGATGAACAGGGACAGCGAAGGACAAGAAGATCCCAACCAGACTCTCCTTTCTCCTATGATGAGGTAACATTTTGCTGAGCAATTCAATGTGCGAGGCAGAAAGAAATATCTTCCACATGCTCCAAGTTAATTATCAGAACTTTTTAGGTGGGACAGAAATGGAAAGGGCAGGGACACACAACGCATGTGTCTATGCATCTGCAGACCCAATAGCAAGCATCTATTATGTAAATCAAGGAAAATGATTATGGCAAAGAGAACTTACCGTTTGAATGTGACATATTTTTTGAAAATATTAATCATTCTGTCCACAAGGTATATGTAAATGAGGAAAAAAGCAGCGATCTCAATATCTCCATCCTTGTAATAACTCCGTTCCATCTGGAAAAAGCAGTTCTGATCATCATGACAAGTCACAAGGAGACACAGTTGCAAAAAGAGCAACAGAAAATTCAAAGGGAACATCTTCAAAGTCTGTGAAAACCCTAGGACACAACCATAGTGGAACTTGAAGGGTCATGCATGTGCATACAAATAGCATGTGTGTGTGTGTGTGTGTGTGTGATTCCTCACATCAAGCCATTTTAATACTGCTCAATCTGATTTCTTTCTACCATCTGTCCATTCGTCCATGTGGGAATCTGGAACCCTTTCTACCCTGAGGCTCTGCAGCTCAGGGCTTCTGTCCTGATGAAAAACACAAGAAGGAAAACATGTTTGTGAATCATCCTCTTCACCCCAGGTGCAAGTATTTCCTCCAAGTCCATGGGTACAAAGACTCAAGGGCATAAATTCTATTAGTTACATTTGGTCCATGGGCTTTGTCAATAAACCTCTCCATGAACTTTTGGCAATTATGTACCTGGATTGCATCAGAGGGCATGAAGAGAGGCATCAGGTGAGTTTCTCAGAAAGTTTTCAGACCAGAAAAATCCAGTGTAACACACTTCAAAGACCCAAAGAACAACAGGGCAGCCTCCAGACCCCATGTTCTGGGGGGCCACACATTGCCTTGATGCCACACAGACCCAAAGCAGACCCTGTTTACAAAGATACCCAATAGGCCTTCTGATTCTCAAGCACTGTGGAACCAGTAATCACCCTGAATTCAGGAGTTTCATTCTGTATGTCAAATCATCACATCTTCAGTTGTAAAATATGAAACCCTTCCACATTGCTGTTAACCATGGTAATCTCATGGTAATCTGTTTTCACACTAAAACCTTGGTTAATACTCTCATGAGAACTAGGGACTATTTGAGGACTTCTCACTTTTTACTATAAGGCAGACAATACTAGCTGGAAGTCATCACTTTATTCCCACCACGACAAACACCAAGGGCAGGATGATGCATACAGATACTTGTACTTCTTGAATGTAAATGACTTTAAGGACTCATGTAGGGCACCATCAGGGCAGCTACATACCTTTAACACTTTGCACAACCAAGAGACTGCACAACACAACTGAACAAAATGGATAGCATGTCTTGTAAGCAGTAATGATGATCAACACTGACTAATCATTTGTGCTTGCATATCAGTGTGAGGTATCACTAATGGAGTAAATCTAATGAGGAGGTAAACAAGAGAGCATGGAAGAGAACTCTGTTATTCCACTCAGAAGTTTCCTAAACTCAAACTGCTATCAATGAGTTCCCTAATATTTTAAGCAAAACACATTCTCCATTGCCTAGTCAATGCTCTGATGCCATTAGTGAGATTTTGAATAGAGGCTCATGCAAATTGAGATGAAGTATAGGCACAAAACACACAAAATTCACTGACTTGCATAAGATTGAAAATATAATGTCTTGATGAGTTAGATTTATTACCAGTACAATGACAAAACTTGTTGTCTATTCAGTTAAACAAGAAAATAAATCTAAATCAGAGAGCAAACATCTCCCGTTCTCTCTAATGTGTAGAAACTAAAAGTAGAGTCAATCTGAATGCACAAGATTCACTGAATAAAGTTTGGGACTGGAAAGGATGAATTCCATGCAATGAGAAGGCTTCGAAAATGTATGGAAAATGTGTGTTATGAAACATTATGCATGAATTTCAAAAAATTTGGCACCCAGATCTATTCATCATTTTTTTTGCTTAACTATTTCTTTCATATTTATCACATATCTTCTACATTCTTTTTTATAGAAAACTTTTATTTAACAAATGTAAATTTCAAAAGTACCAGTTTTGTATTACAGTGGTTCTTCCTCCCATAACAACCATCCCAGCAGCATACCATCCATCTCTTAATCCCTCTCCCATCCCATTCTTCACTCAGATTCATTTTATTATCTTTATATACAGAAGATCAACTCTATACTAAGTAAAATTACAACAGTTTGCACCCACACAGACACACAAAGTATAAAGTCCTGTTTGAAGATTAGTTTTACCGTTAATTCTCATAGTACAACACATTAAGGACAGAGGTCCTATATAGGAGCAAGTGTACAGTAACTCCTGTTATTGATTTAACAATTGACACTCTTATTTATGATGTCAGTAATCACCTGAGGCTTTCGTCATGAGCTGCCAAGGCTTTGGAGCCTATTTTTTTTTTTATGAATAGAGTTAGACAGTGAGAGAGAGAGAGGCAGAGAGAAATGTCTTCCTTTGTTTGTTCACCCCACAAATGGCTGCTGTGGCCAGAACTATGCCGATCTGAAGCCAGGAGCCAGCTGCTTCTTCCTGGTCTCCCATGTGGGTGCAGCCACCCAAGCACTTTTGGCCATCCTCCACTGCCTTCCTGGGCCAGAGCAGAGAGGTAGACTGGAAGAGGAGCAACCAGGACTAGAACCCGGTGCCCATATTTGATGCCAGTGCCACAGCGGAGGATTAACTAATTGAGCCACGGCACTAGCCCCTGGAAGCCTCTTCAGTTCACAAACTCCAATCTTATTTAGACAAGGCCATAATTAAAGGGGAAGATCCCTCCTCCCTTCAGAAAAAGGTACTTCCCTCTTTGATGGCCCATTATTTACGTTGGGATCTCACTGACAGAGATCTTTCTTTAGGCTTTTTTTTTTTTTTTTTTTTTGGCTACAGTGTCTTGGCTTTCCATGCTTCCATGCCTCTCATAAGCTTTTCAGCCAAATCCAAATGCCTTAAGAGCTGATCCTGAGGCCAAAGTGCTGTTTAGGGCATTTGTAATTCTATGAGTCTGCTGTGTATCCAGCATCCTATGTTGGATTGTTCTCTCCTTTTTAATTCTATCAATTATTATTAGCAGACACTGGTCTTATTTATGTGATCCTTTGACACTTAATCCTATATTTATGATGAATTATGAACTTAAACTGATCACTTTAACTAGTAAGACGGTGTTTATATCTGCCAACTTAATGTGATTTTGAGTCCCATGACACATTTTTAGCTTTACCCTTAGGGATAAGTCCGAGGGAGGATGTGCCAAACTGTATATCTCCTCCATCTCTTATTCTCACTCTTATTCTTTTTGAAAGGCTTATTTTATTTATTTGAAAGACAGAGCTACAGAGAGAGGTAGAGACAGATAGAAAGGTTTTCCACCCACTGCATCACTTCCCAGATGGCCGCAACAGGCCGGGGCTGCACCAATCGGAAGCCAAGAGACAGGAGCTTCTTCCAGGTCTCCCACGTGGGTGCAGGGGCCCAACAACTTGGGCCATCTTCTACTGCTATCCCAGGCCATAGAATAGAGATGGATCCAAAGAAGAGCAGCTGGGACTTGAACCGGCACCCATGTGGGATACTGACACTTCAGGCCATGGCTTTAACCTGCTGCACCACAGGTTTGGCCCCTCCCACTCTTATTTTAACAAGGATCAATTTTCAGTTAACTTTAAACACCTAAGGATAATTCAATGTTAATTCAAGAGTTCAACCAATGGTATTAAGTAGAAAAAGAAAATACTAAAAAGAATAAAATAGTAAACTGTTGCTCAAAGCACTAATCAAGTCATTGCTTCTCCTAGTGTCAGTTTCACTTCTACAGGTTTCCTTTTAGGTGCTCAGTTAGTTGTCACAGATCAGGGAGAACATAGGATATTTGTCCCTTTGGGACTGGCTTATTTCACTCAGCATGATGTTTTCCAGATTCCTCCATTTTGTTGCAAATAACCAGATTTCATTTTTTGCTTTTACCACTTTGTAGTATTCTATAGAGTTCATATCCATAGTTTCTTTATCCATTCTTCCATTGATGGGCATTTAGGTTGATTTCACCTCACCTGTCCGAATGGCTCTCCTACAGAAATCAACAAACAACCTGTGCTGGAGAGGATTTGAAGGAAAATGTACCCTCATCCACAGGTTGTGGGAATATAAACTGATTCAGTCATTGTGAAACACAGTATAGAAACCTATGAGAGCTGAAAATAGATCTGCCATATGACCCATCCAACTGATTCCTAGGAATCTCCTCAAACAAAATGAAATCAGCACGAAAAAGTGTCATCTATACCCCCATGCTCATTGCAGCTCAATTCAAAATAGCTAAGAAATGGAATCAACCCAGATATCCATCAATAGCTGACTGGATAAAGAAACCATGGTATATATACTCTAAGAATATTAATCAGCAGGAAAAAAAAAGAAAAGAAATCCTGTCTATCACAACAAAATTGATGCAGCTGAAAACCATGATACTTAAGAGAAATCAGCCAGTATCAAAAACAGACATAAACCATATGTATTCTCTTATCCATCATAACAAGTGCCTAAATGTAATGTTGGAGTAAAATTGACAATTTGAGATTCCATGCTTTTTTTTTATAGCCTTTGTCTTTATTTTGAGGAATAGTGTTGGTTTCTTCATACCGTTTGTAGAACACATTACATATGGTAAGGTTAATCTCCTGAGTATAAAGTAAACCAGAAAACAGTTCTTTGCAAAAATTAAGAGTGGCGATAGGAGAGGGAGGAGGAAGAAGAATAAGATTGGGGCTGGCGCTGTGGAGCAGTGGGATAACACCCTGGTCTGAAGTGCCAGCATCCTATATGAGCACCAGTTTGAGACTCGTTTGTTCCAATTCCTGTCTGGCTCTCTGTGTGGCCTGGGAAGGCAGTGGAGGATGGCCCAAATCATGGGAGACCTGGAAGGAGCTCCTGGCTTTGGATCGGCACAGCTCTGGCCATTGCGGCCAATTGGGGAGTGAATCATCAGATGGAAGACCTCTCTCTCTCTCTGCCCCTCCTCTCTCTGTTTAACTCTTTCAAATAAAATAAATAAATCTTTTTAAAAAAAGAAGCTTCAGATTTTTGTGGACAGGATGAATGGATGGGTGGGAAGTATCTCTGTGATCTAAAACTGTATATATGATATTCATAAAACTTGTATACATCAAGTAAAATTTGAAATATAAACAAATTGAGTAACTTACAAACAAGAA